AGGGTGTGTGCCTGAGGAGCTTGATGTTGCCTTAGCTACAGCTTCGTATGCAGGGGCTGGTCAGAGAACCTGCATGTAACTGTAGCTGGGTGTGTCTCTACCTGTATGAATGCTGGTGAGAGTGCAGGCTGGAAGGCTTTGCATCTTGTCACATCAGTACGCTGTGAGAGGGAGCCCAGACTGGTGGGTCAAGGGGCTCAGTGATACCCTAATTCTAGGTGGCACCCTGGGGGGAACCAATCACACCCCCCACTTGGTGTCAAGGCAGGACACAAGGGTGAGGAAATGAAGGGTGAGGAGCCATGAGTGCATAGTTGTTTTATGGGCAGTGTTCGGAGACAGACCAGTTGCATATCTCAGAGCCATCTCACATGGTACACAGGGGGTGGCCTGGGATGCTCATGGGGCAGGGGCGCAATGGAAAAGGGCTCCAGTGTCATGGGTGAGGAGGGGACATGAAGAACCCTGCCACAGGGCATGCTGAAGGAAAACGCACGAGGTGGGTGGTAGGGCTGCCCTCACATTCTGGAGCGCACAATGAGAAATGTGTGGGGTGGAGAACCCCATATGCTGGGGAGCAACCTAGGGGTCCACCCAGTCCATCTGGTCGTAGTCCAGGGTACCCTGGCGGCACCAGCTGGGACCGGCCTCAGGTGTACCAAGGGGGACTCCGGCACCTGCACACCTAGATAGCAATCTTGTAGAAGTGGCCACCATGGACCTGGTCATGAAGAGTAGCTTCTAAGTCCTGAGAAGGTCCTGGTAAAAAAACAGCAGCTCAGAGAAGTCTTGCGGGAAACCCCTTAGGTGGAGATAGAAGAGCTGTCGGTTGTATTGGAGATCTTGGAGGGGACAGAGAAAGGCTTGGACCAGCATGCTCCATGCCGAACTACCTGCACCAGAAAGGAGCCTGTGCAGAGCCTGGAGGAGGAAGAAATGGACCTAACTGCAGAGGAAGAGCAGACCCTGTCTTCCCTCCTACAGGGAGAGGCTCAGGGCACCTGGAGAGACCCAGTGCAACCCTGGCCAGAAGAACTCCAAGATTTTATTCTGCAGACCAGCCAGGGTGCCCGGGGCAGGGGCAGGATGTTGAGCTGGTTCCAGAGCATGGACATGATCAGCCAGTTGAGCACCAGTGTCCTCTCCTGTAGGAAAAGGCATGCAAGAAACCCCCTACACCTCTGAAAACTGTCAGCCACCCCGGTCTTGAGATCAACCCTGTTCTCAAGTGTGGAGGGATCAGTGGGGGAAAGATAAATGCTCAGATAGAGCACTGGACCCACACTCCACTAAATGGCCTGCAGTGAGTCAGTGCAGCTGAGTGAGTAGCCTTGGTCTGGCTGTGGGTTCGCCTCACACTGATACTGAGTGCTCAACTCAGAGCTGGGTCAGGCTGGTCCGGGCTTTAGGAGCAGAGGCAGTGCACCAATGGGAGTGTGCCCCCGAAAGTCACTGAGGCTGCTTTCCTACATTGCCCTCTAGTGGTGACCCCTGTTCCTGGGGTGGAGGGGAGAGGGCAGTATCATGACCATGTTCCCCTTTCAGCTGTACTGTACTGAGGCTGATGGTCCCATTCCATCAGGAAAGATCCTGCTGCTTCAGCCTCCCAGTTGGGTTTGGGAGCATGATACAGCCAGGCCTGAGCCAAACCGACAGCTACTGGCACCATGTGTCCCCTCCCCGCACTGCACCATGATTGAGAGAGAACTGGGGCTGACTCCCTGCTGACTGCTGTAATGTCCTGGAGACCACCCCCCTCCAGATCCCTGGCCAGGAGTTTGGAACTACCAAATAAGAGATGGACTCAGAAGATCCAGCTCTGGTCTCGTTCTGAGCCCTGCGCATGGTGGGAGTTTCTTATGCAGTGAAATCACTGAAGGATTATGGGGTGATGGTGACACAGGGAGAGGATCTGCCCCCTCCAGCCTTAGTTACTCCCCATGAGCAGCAGAGACCCAAACACGAGGAGCTCAAGCATAGGAACGTCTCAGGGGTCACAATGAAGGTGGTGCTGCTGCATTGCCTCAGCCTCCTGCACCCTGGCCCTCCTGTGCTGTGAGTGTTGGGGAAATGGTACAATTCTCCTTTCTGTGGTCTGCACCTTCAAATGGGAGACGTTTCCCTGCCTTCCTCCCAGATTGGCCGGGCTGGGAGCACTGCATGGACCCCACACTGTGCCTGTCTCTCATGGGGACTCCATACTGATCCCTTTGGTGTTTTCCATACTGTGAAATAAACCGAGACTGACAGGGCCTTTGGGAAAGGTTCTTCTCTATATGGGGGGAGCAAATGAAGACAAGTATTAAAATGCATCACCGTACAGGAGTAAATAGGAAATTCAAACAACAGGAAATGGTTACAGCACCGAGTCACAGGGACAGAAGCAAAATTTTTATTACTCCCCCCACCCCCAACAGACACACATGCATTCTCCATGTGGGGCAAAGCCAATACACTTTCTGGTTTAAGTTATAGTAGAGACTCAATGCAAGTCATGCAAGTCATGAAAGCCCAGTTGCAGGACCCTATGGATATTTTGTGCTTTCTGGCAGTGGGATTTAGGAAGTTTCAGGACTTCTAACCCCAGATCAGTAGTATCACAGGGTGTAGTCTGGCACAGGCCCCCATGGTGTGGAAATGTGACCATCCTGACTCTGTTTCCCCTCTGTCAGTTCCATAAGTGCTCACACCCCAGAGGGGGCAGTTAAGGTCCCCTTCCTTGGGGCAGTGACACCACTGAAATGTATCCCCTTCTTCACCTTCACAGCAGAGCTTTCCCACCTCCTTCATCTAGCCCTTCCCAGCTACACAGGTCCGGGACCTCACCAGTCCATATGGCCCTTTCTGAGGGCTCCACAGCTACACCTCATGTCCAGACTTCTGATCCCGTCCTCTCATCTCCCAGCCACAGACCCACTCCTTGGGCTTCTGCCCCAGCTTCCCTGGGGCAGGGAGCTCCAGGCTCCAGACACCAGGCTCTGAGCAGAGATCTGCCCCAGGACTTTCCCAGCCCCTTCTCCCCACTCACTGGGCAACAATCTTCACCTGGCTGTTTCTGCCTTGCTCATGGGATCAGCCACATGACATGGTCACCTCCATTCACAGCATGGCCCTGTGCTTCTGCCAGGGGAGCTGCAGGATCCACCCAGGACACTTGTTCTGAAGGGGACGGCCTTGGAGCAGCTGTGACAGCACTGCTAGCTCTGGCAAACTGCTCCTGGTGATGGGATTTCGGTGGGGTGGGGCCCAGTCTCCAAATAACATGAGAAGCTCCAACCACCTAGTGAATCTGAGCCTTTGATTTGCAGTCTGCCCCACTTGTTCACATCCTGGGGCAGAAAAAGCAATGAGAGCTGTTGCAAGGAGAGCTCACCCCCTCTCCCAGCAACATTGCCAGCACCTTCTTCGATTATCAGTTCTTGAATTCTCTGACCTGTGTTCTGGTTATTCAGGATCAGTGGCTGCACTGTGCTGTACTGGACCTTGCATGGTGAGCCGCTGACAAGGATTGTGTTTAAAGCAGAGCTGGTGTAGTTGCCACATGATTCTTTGCCGCTCTCTGGATGGAGAGAGAACTTCCTGTGCTGATTCAGAGTTCTTGCCACCCAATAAGATGGCGTCTGTCTGGGGAAACAGCCTGCTGTTCATTACCAAGGAGCTCATGCTACGGCAGTTTGGCCTTCATGGGTTAGGGATGGCAAAGTGCCAGAGATGCCTGCATTTGAGCTGTTTCCTACAAGGCCACCTTTCTGTTTGACACCACAAATTGCTGCGATGGGCTGATTTAAAATCCATTCTAAATGCCTCGGTTAGGCCTGTTCTAACACGAACCTACACACAGCTCCTTCGGGCTGGATTTTATCTTTGATTGCTCTTTCCCCCGGCTGCTTTTCCACTGGACATCGGCTATGTTGTTTTCCTGGTTAACTTGCTGCTGTCTCCTGGGAAGCTCGTGTCCTATGGCCAATGTGCTGCTCTTTGCTGTACAGATAAGATGGGTTTCAGCTGCACTGACTATTAAGGAGATTCTCTATTCAGACAGATGGAAATGGCCAGGACCCTGCAATTCTCTCTAGCTCCCAGACTAATTAACGCAGCCTGTGCTGCCTAGAGTTACCACACAGGACAGTCCTAGCACTGGCCTGGACAGAGAATCCTGGAGTGGGTCACTACCTACACTACGGTATGTCAGATGGTCACTCAGAACCTAATCAGTAAGTGTTAAGAACAAGCTCTAACTGGGTGAATAGGAAGCCCGCTGAGACTCTGCTGCCACTGATGGTCACATCTGAAGAAGGAAGCTCCATGACACATTCCTACCACTAATGTACCACTGCCGTTCCCACTCTTTTCAGGAAGCCCTGAGCAGTCTGGGTTCCACAAAGGGAACAGGGGTTGTTCCCTTCTCCTTTGGATACAGCTAACCCCAGTGGTAACATCCCAGCTTTGTGGTTTTAGTGGCCTGGCTACGATTGGACACATTTAGCTAAGGGGTTCAATTTTAGAGGTTTCTTCTTTCCCTACATTTGTTTTCTTAATTAATTTATCAGATGAGCAGCATTCAAGGCTCACTTTTATTTGCCTAAAAAGACAGAATCATTTTTCACACTGTTCTGCCCTACGCCAAGGAGGGTGGTTACATGATGATCCGAGACTGAAGTGAAGATGACATCAGAAGCGGACTCGTCACTCATATATGGTCACAGCCGGAGTTTTAGAATTTTATTGGATGTTTTAGCTGCACAAAGTTTTAGATAAACCCTCTGATAATGTCTAAAAAGGTGAATATTGTTTCTATTGGTTCCTTCTCGCAGCTGATGCCAGGGTCTGAATCTATATATTTCCCTTCCACTGCTTTGTTGTCACTTGTCAGACACAGAGGAGCCCTGGCAGAGTGTTTTGGTGCAGCCAGTGCAGTGAGAGGAGGTAACCAGCAAGTCCATCCAGCAATGAAGGGACATCTCTCCACTCAGCTGCTCTGGTTTCTCCTCTTTCTTCAGGACACCACGGGTAAGTGCCTGATTTATTTTACTTTATGAGTTAGGCAGATGAGAGCTAGAAAGAGAGTTTTGAGTCCACTAGAAATGGGGTTTTATTCCAGAAATCAATGAAACAATGGGAAAGCAGGCAGTTGGGTTTAAGTAAGTATGTATGTATAATTATCTCCCCATTGGTTATTCTGAGAGAGGAGGTTTATATATTTGCAATTATCATAGATTTGACCCAGTCCCAGACTGTGTGCACTTTATAAAATACCCCAGTCTTGTAGCACTGTGAGCTCAGAGTTGGTTTTAGTGGACTAATAGCGTCAGTGCTTAGAAATTCCTGATAAACAAATGAACCGCAAGAAAAGGAAAGTGGGCTTCTGTATTGTGACCTCCAGCCTCATCCCCCGTCCAGCTCTGTGCCTGTGTATGGGACCTGTGAATAATTCCTGATATACAGTCCATACCTTTTAAAATAACACTGCTGTCCTGAGTGCGTTCAACATACTGGGCATCTTCAGCAGGGTGTAAGTGATGCACTTGTCAGGACATTGAACTGTCCATTAGCAGTCTTTTCTGTGAGTTGCTGCAGTCTGAGACGCTGCTGTTCTGTAGCTGCAGTACGAAGCTGAAGATGAAAGTCAGATTTTAGAAACCTCAAATATTTAGCTAGAGACGAACTGTGGTACCGCAGCTGGTATGTACAGATCACAGATAGCTCTGCAACGTCTCTGTGCCTTGGAGGGTAGGTGCTGAGGATTACAGAGCAAGGGATTTTCTAGAGTGGAGTATTGTACTTGAACTCCCAAGAAATTTACACAGAAGTAGCTGGAGTTTGTTCTCATGATAAAAGTGAACTTTACCAGAGTGAAAACACAGAAAATTCCACTTGGATTCTGGGTAACCATATCACCATGGCACAGGCCACATGAAACCATGGGCCCTATTCTTCCTGCAGGGTGTATTGACTCCCATTACCTACAAAGGGTGGAAGTCGTACCCTTCAGGGAGAGAAGGTGGCCCTGGACTAGGGTGACCAGATGTCCTGATTTTATAGGGCCAGTCCCGATATTTGGGGCTTTTTCTTATATAGGCACCTATTACCTCCCACCCCATGTCCCGATTTTTCACATTTGTTGTCTGGTTACCCTACCCTGGACTCCACTGGTCCACAGTCTGGTCAGAGTAATAATAGAGCCTGGTTACAACCTTCCTTTTCTTGTCTTTAAATATGACTCCATGTGGAACAGGAATGTCCCCATCACACTTGTGTCCAGTTAAAAGTTCATAACCCAACCGTTCATGAGAATGTTTTTCAGTTTGATTTAAATGCATCTTAGAACAGCTGTGAACACCTTGCCACCCTCCCTCAATAACGGGGCACTTTACAAATCTACAAATGGACACCTATGAATGGGCTGGATTCTGGTTCCACCCAAAAGTTTCAAAGTGGTGAAACCGACACTCCAGCAGGTTAATGTTTTCATCTTTGCTTGTCAAAACTTTAGAAAAAAAAAATTGCAGCGAAACAGAAATGGTTTTGTGAAATTGTTGCCCATCTTTCTTCCTGCCATTGCAGTGGGACGACTCCTGAGAGGAAGACCCAACAGTGTTCCACAATCTGGACTTAAATAAAAAAGTCTCAAGGAGGGAGGGGACTCAAATACAGCCAGGGACTACAGCACAAAGGGATTTAAAAAGAACAGGGACATCTTAAAATCAACCCATCACTCTATAGGAGCTAATGTACCTTATAAGCTCCCTTCCAACAAAACACTTAAATAACATTAACATTAAGCACATGAGTTAGTCTCCTATGACTAAAAGCCTTTGCTGGTTTGTGGCCACAAAGAGCATGAGGCAGATGTAACATGTTGGTGGCTGCTCAAACATGCTGCAGTGGATATGCCCTACTGGGAACAGCACTAAGAGGAAATCATAATAATTAACCCGCAGACACTGCTGTGATGAGAAAACCATGGAATACACGAGTGCACAGCCTGTGCCCCCTGTGTAACTCACAGATGGTTCTATGGTGAAAACCCTGCGCTGGGAATCTGGCGATTAGTGTCTGTTCTTGACTCTGCCACAGATTTAGTGTGTGACCTTGGCGCATCTCACTTCATTTCTCACTGCCTCAGGTTCTCCTTCTGTAAAATGGGAATAATACCTACCTGTGTGACTGAGGGTGGAGAGATAATGTGGGGATAAAATTCACCAGACAGAAAAAAAAACTTTAAATAAATTAAAATGAACAAAGTAAATTATTTTGTCCCAAGCCCAACACGTGGGTTCCCACAGGGCGGGGAAGGGCCTGTGGAGACACCAATTTTTTAAATCTGACTCAGTGTCGCAGAATGAATCCCCTCAACAAGAGGGACGTGGAGGTGGGTCCAGAGCTCCTGGACTTCCCATAATAGTCACTGTGCCCTGGGGAAGAAGTTTGTTTTCACCATGAGATTATATGGAACAGTGCCCCCCACAGCTCCCCATCAATATACAGCTGTAATTGCAGCTAGCGGGAGCTCTGTGCTCTGAGGGTTCTGATGTCCTCTGACCCAAGGTTGGAGTTACAGCCCCTGTTACTGGAGAGAGAATGTGCTTTATAAAAACTGAGCATAAAATACTCATCACAGATAAATCTGCAGTTACAGTTTTTAACCAGCAGGTAAATGCAGATGGGAAAAATCATTTTCTCTAATTTGTTGGAGATGGGTGGAGGAGCTGGTGCCAGGAAGAGGTGGGGTGGGGGAACATGTTTTCAAGTGAGTGGTGGGGGAGGAGGGTCAGAGGAAGGAGGAGACAGGGTGTTAGAATCATAGGGGTTGGAAGGGATCTTAAGAGGTCATCTAGTCCAACCCTCTACTCAAAGCAGGACCAATCCCCAACTAAATCCCCAAATAGCCTTCTCAAGGATTGAACTCACAACCCTTGGTTTAGCAGGCCAATACTCAAACCACCGAGCTAACCCAAGGAGTCTCTGAGGGTGCTGCTGCTGTGAATCACATAGCAGTGACGCTGCTCAGCATCCACCAGCCCAGAGAGATCAGAGGGGAGCCGATACTTCATGCTGCCTCCCCAGTGACAAGCCTAACTGGAGGGGATCAGGGAGTAAAGCCCAGGGCCCTTGTGTGATACTGTCCAAGCCAGAGGGTTTGGGCTTTGCGCTGTCTGAAACCCTGCTCTGTGTCTGTTTGAAGGTGCTGATGAGCTGAGGCTGGTGAATGGAAGCAGGCCCTGTGCCGGGAGAGTGGAGGTTAAACACCAGGATCAGTGGGGGACGGTGTGTGATGACAACTGGGACATGGAAGATGCTGAGGTGGTTTGTAAGCAGATGGGATGTGGATCTGCTGTCAGTGCCCATGGCCGGGCTTATTTTGGAGAAGGATCTGGACCAACTTGGCTGATTGTTGATTGTGATGGTGACGAGTCAGCTCTCTGGGACTGCAAACATAGAGGATGGGGTAAAATCACCTGCCTTCATTATTATGATACTGGAGTGATCTGCTCAGGTAAGAACTCAGCGAACTGGCCCCCGTAGGAAACACCACATGAGGTAGAAGGGACTGAACCCATGTGTGACATTCCTGGTGACTCAGAGTTGGAGGGTGCCCTGCTCTGAGGTCAGGATAGAGCTGACCAGTCTCTCCCTGAGCTCCCCTGGGCAGACTGGGGATGAGCAGACTGTGCCATCCTCTGGGCAGGTCAGGCAGCTGTCATGGAGTAAGGGTGGGGTGGGGGGAGGCCCCATTAGCAGGTCTGTGCTGGTAGGTTCCTGTGTATAGAAGCCCAGTGTCTCCCCAGGGCAGCAACAGCAGCTGTGACCCTGCCTATGGCTGCTGGAGCTGGAGCCATGGGGGGCGAGTGTTGTGGAGCTCTCCCCAGAGTTCCCTGAGGCAGCAGGGGTGGAGCCCTGAGCCTGACCATGGCAAGGGGAAGGGGCCAGAACAGCTAGGGGTCGGTGCACGGGGCAAAAACTGGCTATACTGCACAACGCAACTCCCTCCTTCCCTGAATCTCCCTGCAGGGTCAGGCAGGAAACTCCCACATGGTGTGTAGCTCTTTGTTCCGCAGCTCACCTGGCTACCTTCCCATGCAGGGTGGGCTAGATTTACCCACCAGGGTAATGTCATGAAGACTACACCTGGATCACTCTGCACTTTGCATTTGGGAAATAAATGTGTATGTATAACCTGGCTTCATCAAACTGGTGCTGTTAAAATGGCTGTGTTTGCACACAGGTCTAAAAAGAGTGACTAATGCACTGTTAAAAACAGCCCAGACACAAGTAATACTAAGCCCTGGTCTACACTACAGAGTTAGTTTGATGTAAGGCAGCTTACTTCGACCTAATTCCATAAGGAACTACACTAAAATGTAGCTCCTGCCAATGTAACTTGCCCACTACACCGACATAATAACTGCACCTCCATGAGAGGCGTAGTACTTAGGTCAATATAGTTAGGTCGACGCAGTGTCAGTGTAGATGCTGCATTGCTTACATTGTCTGAAGCCATCCCACAATGCTCCACACTGACAGTTAAATCCATGCAAGCATGGGCAGCGGGTATGGCAGTCCAGGGGAAGCTGAGCTTCCCTAAACCAGCGGTCTCCAAACTTTTTTGATTGCGCACCCCTATCAGTAAAAAATTTTGGAGCACGCACCCCCAATATATGTCTATTTATTTATTTATAAATTATATACATGTACTACTCTGCTAATATAGTATGTACATTATAAAACATACACAAAATATAGAAATTTAAAAAAGGATGAGATAAAGGTGAAATAAACAATATTTAAAAAAAACATTTTATTTATTAACGGTACAAAAAACCTTTTTGCTGTCACAAAATTATTATTAATAATAATATTTTTAGTGAGAGCAATGTGATTGAATATGCTTCATTATTTCTGAAAATCTTGGTTTAACACTTTGTGATACAGCGATTTGAAGGTCTGGATTAGGGTTAGGGTGAGGGAGGGCGCTCAGGGTGGGGTGCGGGAGGAGGCTCAGAGTGGGGGTGCAGGGTCTGGGAGGGAGGTAGGGTGCAGGAGGACGCTCAGGGTTGGCGTGTGGGAGGAGGCTAAGGCTGGGGCAGGCAGGAGGTGCAGAGCACTTACCTGGTGCAGCTCCTGTTTGGTGCAGGGACTGTGCAGGTGGCTCTGCGCAGTGCAGCACTGCTCCCATGGCCACGATTCTGGGAGCCACGATTCTGGGAGCTCCCCACCCCCTTGGGCAGGTGGGGCCACCCAGAACCAGGGGCTTTAGGGGCTGCAGGGCCCTGGGTTAAGGGGGCCCCGGGGCCCTGGCCTGCAGCTCTAAAGCCCCTTTTGGAATACGGCCCTGCGAGCACAGGCTGGAGGACTCAGGGGGAGCAGTGGCAACCGCGCAGTCAGCGGCCGGAGAGAAGTGGCGCTTTCCCCTTCAAAGTTGGCCGTAGAGAAGCGGCGCTTTGAAGGGGAAAGCACTGCTTCTTTCCGGCCGCTGGCTGCGCGGCTGCCCCTGCTCCTCCACGGGCCAGAGGACTCAGGGCCGCATTCCGAATGGGGCTTTAGAGCTGCAGGCCAGGGCCCCGGGGCCCCCTTAGCCCCGGACCCTGCAGCCCCTAAAGCCCCTGCGTTCCAGGTAGCCCTGCCTGGCTGGGGGGGGCAGCTTCCCCGCTCACTCGCTCCCTCCCTCCTCCGGCCGCCCTTTTTTTTTCCTCTGGTGGCGCTCCTCCTGCCGCGCCCCCCAATGGATCGTCTTGCATACCCCCAGGGGTGTGTGCACCCCACTTTGGAGACCACTGCCCTAAAAAGCCAGGCATGGCCCCACCCACGTTCCGCCCTGAAACCCCTCCTGCTTCCTGCCACTTTCCCCTGGCCTCAGTCCAGGGAGGTTGCTCCTCTTCCCCAAGGTGGCTAGAGGAGGGCTTGTGTGTGCCAGCCTGAGGCCTGGGACTCAGGGCAGTTGGGGGCCCCGGTAATCTCATGAGGATGTGCACCACCAACACAAGGAGTGTAGTGTGGACACACAAAAGCGATTTAATTACTGCAGTAGCTATACATTCACATAACTTAGGTGAACTACATTTTGTACTGTAGACTTGTCCTTGGTGTAGGAACATTGGTAGCTGCAGGTGGCTGAACAGCGATAACCCCGCTTTGTTTTGATTAGCTCAGTTTGCACCTCTCTGCTAGTCCCTGATCACCACCATTGGTGAGGTCACATCTGATCACTGGGGTCAGTGCTCTGTGTGTCTCCCCCTCACACCCTGCCACTCTCTTACCATCCTCAGAAGCTGTGGGGGAGGTCACCCTTCCCCTGTGCCCTCTTGTGCCCACAGTCACCATATGCCCTCCCCCCTCAGAAATATGCTGGGCACAGTTGGGGACTCCTCAACAGGCCCTAAATTGGAGTAACCCTCAGCACATGGAGATGCATTGGCTCCCCTCTCAGTCCTGTGCCAGGCTCAGCACTGGTGCATGGATTAAACCGGGGCCAAGGTGAAGGGTCTCTCTCTGGGCTTGATTCTGGGTTTCCTGTGTGCAGTGAGCTCTGCTGCTGCAATGTCTCAGCTGAGGTGTCACTGACTGAGCTGCACCATCCTTATTTCCCCTGTTTCTATACCTGAAATGCACAAGTGCAGAGAGGAGCTCATTTGCATAATGGGAAGAGCCAAAATTGGGAGCCTGGCAGCCACATCCCCATTCCCTAGTAGGCCTGTAAGCAGCCGCAGCTCTGGACTTGTAAACCCTGAACTTCTGGGCCTATTGGTGCTGCTTGGAGGATTTGGGGAGTATCCAGAGGGTACAAAGGAACTCAACCGGTTATCTGGGAATTTCACATCCTTCACCCATACAAAACGTATCAGGCCAATTATCTGGATTGCACCAAGGGAATGCATCACAATTCCCTTCATCTACACACCAGGCACCAACCCTGTACACACAAGGAGTACAGGAGGGGAGCAGAGAGGCCAACACACAGCATGGCATTGTTAGATATTGTTATTGAATAGGATCCCTGTACACCAGTTTTGCACTTCTGCTTAGAGCCGCCGCGTGGCTTCTCTGGTTTACACCATCCACTTACATCCAGGCTCTCATCTGGATATAAGCACAGTATAGATTTTACTAACAGCTCCCTTTTGGAGTGTGCTTCTTGTCTCACAGAGCCAGCTGGTCTAGCTTCAACTACACCTACTTTTCACAGGCAATAATCAGCTTAGAGGTGGCGAGTGAGTGCAGTTGACTAGTGGTGATGTTTAAGGCTCACTTTACACCACTGTTACACTGGTGCAGCTGCCTAGACAAAACACTATGGAGGACAGAGACCTCTGTGTGCACATAGCCCTGTAGTCACTGCTAGAGTTGAACTTTTCCACACTATTTATTGTCACTGGTTCTCTCAGAGACAGGAGGCTGTTGTTCATTCATTGCGATGAAGGCCAGACTCTCCTTACTGCCTGTGGCCAGACAGCTTTGCATGTCAGTGACTGTGGAATTAACTTAAAATTCACTAACAAAAGTCTTCATTAATGCACCTGGTGGGAGATGAAGACAGTCTGTGTGTTTAATGATGGGTTTCCCTAGTTTCCTGGGGCTCTGTATGCTTGTACCTCCAGGAGAGGCACTGTACGTGGGAATCAGGGAGCAGACTCAGAGTGTGTGAGGCAACGAAGAGGGAGCGAGGAGAGACACTATTTAGAGCGATAGGGGCCACATCAGACTGGGGAGGATAGCAGTTGTGTCTGGGTGGCCACCAGTTCCCTGATCAGAGGAGGGGCCGTGTCTGAGAGAAAGGAGTGGGACAGAATAAAGTGACTGACAAGCGAAAGCCTGGGAATATGAGCTAGTCTGACTGACAGGAAGTGAGATGCCCAGCACTGGAGAGAGGAGAAGCCAATTTGGAGCAGTCTGGAGCCAGCTATGGAAAGGTCAGGACTGGCTGTGTGGTGAGTCCCAGGTCTGCATGCAGGGTCCCCCTGAGAACTGGCCCCTGGGCAGCAACAACCCTCAGCTTGGGCCTTTCCCTCTTCAAGGTGACTCCCTGGTTAAAGAGTTTTGTTGGGAATATTCCCCAGCCAGCCAGGCTGAATTAGTACTTCAGCTACCTAGGGAAAATCCACCACCATATGTCATGCTTTGCACTGACTGCAAGTCCAAGCTGTCTGCCTGCTGTGAGTGTGTCTGAGCACTAGGGCAGGAGACTAAAGTTAGGATTTTTAGTAGTGTTATTGCAATGTGCACCTTGAGCCCTGAACCCCGTTGTGATGAGGGGAAATCCCAGGAGCAGAAGCAGCCTGACTCCTGCCTGAAGAAGATGCCTGAGAGCAGCGATCATCAGCCCCTGTGCAGGGACTGAAGAGATTAGATTCATGGGAAACTAATGGGTATTATCAGCATGGGCACCAGTGACCCCTAGAGAAGTGTTTTATTATGTTATGTTATATTTGCTTCCTGTTTAATATAACTACTGTGTTGAATATATTATGTGTCTGCGTTATTTCTTGGGAGTCTCTAATT